GTAATTTATATTTGATTTAATAATATAATTTTTTATAAATATAATAATTAATTATTTTGTTAAAACTCGATAATTATCTTAATTATATTTTAAATTTTTTATATTTTAAAATGAGATGTTTATCCTCTATTTGATTATGCGTATCTGCAATTAGTTACACGAATTCGAACATAGAATTTTAATAAGTTGTACTTGTGCATAATTTTCTTGTAATATGAAATTCTAAGTAATGTGCATGTACAGTACTTCATGCATAAAAAAAAGTTTTCAAGAGTTTTTGTCAAATGCTTTATGATATAGTATAGATATTGATATATTTTTCAATTTTTATGATATTTTCAAGTTTATTTTTATCTAAAAGTATAAACATTATCTTTATCGAAACCATATAAACCATATTATATATCAACAAAGACAAAAAATAAAACGAAATATTAAAATGAAGATGTATCTCACTGTATTGTGCGAGTACCTTCTAGTTTAATTAAAAGAAACTAGTTGAGATGTTTAGGCTTATCATGTATTTCAATGTGTTTATCAGTGAGTTTTATCTGAATTTAAACATGGAGTTTTAAGTTTAAAATAAACAATATCTGACATTTTATCAAACAGTTAAAAATTTTATATAGTAATAATACTTACAATAATTTTAGTTTAACAAAATCCTGATAATATTATTTCAGTATTATAATCCCATGCAAATTCAACCATTGTGTTTCATAAAATCGTTACTCGTTTACTTTGAGTCACATCTTTTTCGTGATAAAGTCATATGAATCAACCAACGTTGTTGGGTCGTCGAGTTCCCTTGTGGCCTTTTTTTATGTCGCAGATATTGTTTGCAACTAATTATTTAAATATATTGTTTTATTAAAGTTTTACATATGAATTACAATAAAACTGACTCATAAGATTCACAATTTCAGACTAAATTCATTAATCTATATTTATCTACTAGAATGGTACTCGTGCAATGCAGCGAGATACATCTTCGTTGTAATGTTTCGTTTTATTTTTTGTCTCTGTTGATATAATATGGTTTATGTGGCTTTGAGAAAGATATTGTTTTTAAGTCTGAATAAAAATAAATTTGAAGATATCATAAAAATTTGAAAAAAATATATCGATATTAATAGCAAATTAACTATTTAAAAGTTCTCGTTTTTTGTATATTTTCTTTAATTCAATTTTTTTATAATTTAATTTTGTTCAAAATAGTGAAGTAATTTGTTTTTGACTTAACAATCAATTTTTTATAAAGATAATGATTCTGTTAGAACTCAATGATTATCCTAATTATATTTTAGATTTTTTATATTTAAAATGCGATGTTTATCTTGTATTTGATTATGTTTACCTGCAGTTAGTTATACGAATTAAAAAATGGAGCTTTAATAAGTTGTACTTATGCACAATTTACTTGTAATCTTAAATTTTAAGTAAATATGCATTAATACACAATACTTCATGCATAAAGATTGGTTTTTAAGAGTTTTGCTAAATGCTTTATAATTTTAAGTAATATGCATTAATACACAATACTTCAAAATTTTATTATGATTTTAATATATATAGATTTAAAAATAAAGATATAATTTATTTTAATTTTAATAATAAAGTTTATCTTAGATAAAAATTAAAAGGGTACTTGTACAATGCAACAAGATGTATATCGATTTTAATGTTTTATTTTGTTTCGTCTCTGTAGATGATATAATATGGTTTTTATGTGATTTTGGGAAAAGAATAATGTTTTTATTTTTTGAATAAAATATCAATTTGAAGAAATCATAAAATTTCGAAAATAAATACATCAATGTTAGTATAAAATTAACAATTTAAAAGTTCTTATTTTTTATGTAATGTCTTTAATTCAATTTTTTATTATAATTTAATTTAGATTTAATAACGAAGTAATTTATTTNTTATTTAAAAATAAAATCATTATTGCTTTCTTAAAAACACATAAAATCGTATTATAACATCGACAGAGACAAATAATAAAATAGAACATTAAAATCAAGATGTGTCTCGCTGCATTGTGCGAGTACTCTTCTAGTTCATCTCTAAGCCATTTTTCTCTAGAAATTTCAAAAAATATCACATTCCCACAAGTGACACCTCGTCAATTTGCAAAGGGGTCAAAATGTTTTTTTGTTTTTTTTTTTTTGAAAATGGACAGCAATTACATGGATCAAATTTGTACTTTAGTTTGGGTCCACAAGTAGCACTTCCGCTGCTTAT